TTCTCTCGTGAAATGTCCAACTGCGTCAAGTGAGGCAAGAGGTGAATCAGTATATTGCAGCAAAAAGTCTAGAAACAGACACCATCATAAATCGGTGCTTAATTACTGAAGATGGCATTTAAGTTCAAAAGTTAAAGATAAATGATTTTTTGTTCTAGTTAGCTATTACAGTACCACTATTCAATATAGTTATAGCCTGACCTCACATTTCACCAAAATAAATTCTGGATGTATTAAATAGTTAAATGTAGATAAGAAAACAAGAGATCCAGAGGACAAAACAATATGATTTTTGTTGTTGTTGTTTAAGAGTCAGGGTCTCACTCTGTCGCCCAGTCTAGAGCGCAGTGGCATGATCACAGTTTACTGCAACCTCCACTTCCTGTGCTCACATGATCCCCCTGCCTCAGTCTCCTGAGGAGCTGAGACTACAGTTGCATGCCACCACACCCAACTAATTAAAAAATTTTTTTGTAGAGACAAGGTTTCACTATATTTCCTAGGCTGGTCTCAAACTCCTGTAATCCCAAAGTGCTGGGATTACAGGCATGAACCACTGTGCCTGAACAGCAAGGCCTTTTTAAACATGGCACCAAGGACAGAAACTATAAAGGAAAATATAAAGATTTAAATACTTAAAAAATCGTCTTCTATATTTCAAAAAAATAGACAATGACATGTTGAGGAAATTTTATTACATGACAAAAAGTAAACACATAAAGATTTCTTACAAAATAATAAAGAAAAAAGGTAAATATGCTGATTAAAAAATGAACAAAAGACTAAGACAGGCAGTTTACAAAGGAACAAATACAAATAGTTAATGAAAAAAGTGAAAGCAGTTAAAATTAACTGATAATAAAAATGATAATTAGACAATGATGCCTTGCCATTTAATTTCTTTCTATTTTTTGTCTGTCACTGACCAAGAATAAAAGTAATAATAATAATACCTTGTGTTGACCTGCGCATGGGGAAGTAAACACTTTCAACTACAGCTGTTGGAAGAATAAATTAGTATAATCTTTCTGGAGGGTAATTTGGCAATATGTTTCAAATCTTAAGTGTGCACCGCCTTTAACTGAGCTGTTACAATTGCAGGAATTGATCCTAAGGAAATAATCAGATACGCTATATATAAAAAAAAGTCTACAATACTATTTTATAATGTTGAAAATTTAGAAACCATCTGAATGCCTAAGCAATATGCACTTGGTTAACTAATTATGATGTATCCATAAATGAATCATAGTACATCCATATGTTGGAGTACTATTTGACAATTATAGATGTTATAGAAGAATAACATGGGAAAATGTGCATGATATACCACTAAGTACAGAAAGCAGACAACAAATCAGTATGTATTGAGTTATAATATTTTATTATTCATAGAAAGGAAAGAAATAAAAATGTTAATAAGGGCTATTTCTGGGTGGTGAGGTTGGATGATTTTTAACATTTTGTGTTTTTCAGATTTTTATTCCCAATTTTTTTGCATTAAGAAAGCCTTATTTAGGAAGAAAAATAGAAATTACTATCAAAATGTAAATTCTTTTGGTTTGTTCTTTTGTCTATAAAAGCAACTGAGTGTAGACAAATAGTCTATATTAAGCAGTAGTCTTGGGCTAGGTCCAGCTTGTAGCTTATTAGCTCTGTGCTAAATTTTCATAAGCAATAACAGGAGCCAGTCAGATTGTGGCAGTTTAAATGAGAACATTTCTGGGAAAGTCACCTTATTCCATTCTGCAGTATAAAGACAAGCGCTTTATCTGACACTCCTTTTCAACCTCTTGTGACCACTGAATGTCACTGTGGTTCCAAGAAAATGCAGTGAAGATAAGACTTCTTTGGTCTTAGTAATGACTGTGGAGACTGGGATAGGAAAAAATAAATAGGCAAATCAGCCCCAGAATTCCCTAGAGGCCAGCACAATGCCTACAGCCTCCTGTTTCTACTAACACTACATTTGGGGTGATAAATGAGCAATGAGAACAAAGTGTTTGAGTCAACACTTCTCAGCCTCTAAGACTTTCTAAGTTCCATGTAGTGAGAAGCAAAAGCCCCAGGCTGAGATTCTGGTTTTGCCAAACCCTGGTTAGATCTCTCCAATGGGAAGATGGGGAAACTGAGCTCAGAGATGGAGGAAAGCCTCAGGAGGCGGAAAGAGGATGCCAAATAGGCAAACTAAACACCTGCTTAGGGTACCAGCAAAGCAAGGCCACCAGCTAGTAATGATCTCCTTGGAGGCAGAGGCAGTGTAGGAATTATTTCTATATCACTGGTGTGTGGTACAGAGTCTAGCACGTAGTAGGTGCTCATAAAAAGTTGGAGTTACTTCCCTTACTACTATCCCTTCAATCTGAATTAGGTGCCCCTCTTTACGGAGCCATAATACTTGTGCTTACTTCTATCATAACACTTATGGCACAGAGTTACAATGATCATTTACATACTGGTTGGATACTTGAAGTTAGGGATTGTGTCTTTTGATACAGCATTCAGACCTTAATGCAAAAGAAAAAGAGTTTTTATAATTCCTCCCTGCTCTCCTCATCTACTGTCCACCCAAGGGATCATGGGAACCGGAATATCTTTTTTTCCCTTTCTTTCTTTTCTTTTTTCCACCCAAAATTGGAGAAACTGGAGTTGGGTTGGGGCAGGAAGGAGAGGTCCAGGAATAGGGAAGTTTAATGAGGTTAAGCAGCTTGAGGTGGGCAAAGGAAAAAATATCCCATTTGTAGGATGGTTGGAGAGCTAGTCTGAGAATAGGAGACACGTCATGGGGGTGTTTATGAAAATGTGTGTGGTATAAATTTATTTTTCTTTATCTCCCCTGTGTAATACTCAGTATAATCTTCAATACTTTGTTAGTAAGTTTCCTTTTGGGGGTGTGTGAAATGTCAACAATGGTGGGCAAAAATAGAGGCTGCTCATGGGTAATAGTTAATCTAAGGGTTGCAGTAGCCCAGTGCGCATGTCTTGCAGTTCCATATTCTTTTCAGAAAAGCTGATTTTCTTATTTACCCAGCCCTTCTATAATTGGCGATCCTCATATCTGAGATCCTCAGAGACCATACATGACTCTGTGCAAGGTCAACCCCAAGTGTATACAGAGTGAATGGCTACCTCTGTGGTACCAACCCCTCTCTTTTTATAGCTGGTTGCTTTAATTTACTTATTAGTCTTTCTTTTTTGGCAAGGGAAATGGGAAAATAGACATAGAGAGATTTACCCTGAACCGTGAATCCTAATTGCTCCCTCTCTGGACATTCCCTAATCTGTTCTCCAGACCATCTTGTTTCCTATCTGGACTATCCCAATTTGCTGTCTCCTACCCTCTCAAGGACCTGCTTTCTGTCTCTAGGCCATGTATTTTCCTAAGCTTCAGACTTACATAGTTATGATTCTATTTGACATCTCCATTTGGATGTTTAATAGGCATCTACAATTTAATATATCCAAAACCCCAACTCTTCATCCTCCCTGAAAATTTGATCCTATGGCAGTCTTCTGCATTTCAGTTAATGGGCAATTGCATTCTTCTAATTGCTTAGGACTAGAAACTTGTAGCTATCCTTGACTCCTCTCTTTACCTTACAGTCTTTATCCAATTTATCAACAAATCCTTTGGCTGTACTTCAAAATACATCCAGAATTCGATCTCTTCCTGTCACCTCTACTGCTACTACTCTGATCCAAGCCATCATCGTATCTCTCACCTGGACTATTTCAATAGTCTAAATGTCTCCTTGCTCTTCTGTAGTCAACACAGCAATAAGATGACCCTTTCAAAACTTAAGTTAGATCATGTCACATATCTGAGTGTACCCTTCCACAGGTTTTATTTCTCTCAGAGTAAAACCCACAATTCTTATGGGAATCTATAAGTCTCTCCATGACCTCATTGACTTCATCTTTTTCTACTCTCACCTAATATTGCTCACTGCATTCCAGCCATAGTGACTTCTTCATTGATCCTCAAACACCAGGTATGCTTCTACCCAGGGCCTTTGCATTTAATATTTTAACTGCCTGCAATGTTATTCCTCTAGATATCTGCAGAGATCATTCACCATCTAAAGTTCTCTGCTTAAGTGCTAGTACCAACAACTCTTGTGCAGATCATTTCTTTGGGAATGTGATCTCAGGAAACAGGAGTGAATAACAAGGGAAGTGAAACAGAGAAGAAGGGAGAGCCACCATAAAGATCAGTTATGGAGTTGACCACAACTATAATCAACTGTTTTCTTAATCCTGCTGGACATCTCTGACAACTTATGACACAGGCATCAGAGCCATTTTCTTGTGATTAGAAAGGGGGGAGGATTTATTCACTAGCTCCGGGAACAGCTACATAAATTCTGAGATCCAGTGCAAAATGAAAATACAGAATCCCTTGTTCAAAGATTATTAAGAATTTTAAGACAGCAGTAGCAGAAATCAGAGAAACATGGGAGCAGGAGGCAAGAGCCTCACTGCACACCTACTTAAAGACCATGTCCCATTGAGCCTATTTGAAGTTTGTTGAATTCCATGCAAGTTTAGCTCTGTATGGAGTTTGGTAAGTTAGTCACCACAGCTGTGGCTGGCATAAGGATTAAATTCGAGGGCATTTTGAAATGTTGCTTAAGAAGAGCCTTACAAGTGTAGTTATTCTCTATGTCTTTTCCTAGTTGAATTCTCTTTATAATGTTTGTTTATTGGGTCCTTGCCTATCTCCTCCAAACTATGATTGGCAAGGAGTTTGCTTTATTCTTGGTTATGTTTTCACACCTAGAGCTATGCCTGGCACATATGAGGTGCTCACTAAATTTTCGTTGAATGAATGGATGCACAAGAGGTAGTGTACGGTGGTTAGGTGTCTGGTTTCTGAAGTCAGATGACCTGGAATGAATGATTATGCCAGTGTGTAAGTGGTTACTAATATGTGCCAATGCTCCTCTTCTTTTGTCTGCATCATATTTGTATAGGGAGCTGCTTAAATTGAGCATCAATACTATTTACCGTTTCTCAGCTTATTTTCAAATGTTTTTATAATATAGGTGCTATTATTACCCAATTTTACAGATGAGGACATTGGCTTAGAAAACAAAAAAGAACATCCTTAAAGAGGTCCAGACAACTGCTCATCTGGCGAAGGGTGAGTCTTCTGTTTTGCCTCAGTAATTGTGATTCTACATGGGATAATTCTATGGGTGCATGGGTATGAGCTGTTTGAAAAATTATTTTAAATTCATATTCATGTTTATTACATGTGTGTATGTTGATGGTGATTGGGCTTCTAATGTACCCATAACCCAAATACTGAACATCGGATCCAATAGGTAATTTTCCAACACTAACCCCCTTCCTCTCTAGCCCTTTGTGAGTTTCTAATGTCTGTTATTTCCATCTTTATGGCCACATGTACCATTGTTTAGATACCACTTGTAATTGAGAACATGTGGTATCTGATTTTCTGTTTTCGAGGTCATTTAGGATAATGGCCTCTGGCTCCATCCATGTTGCTGCAAAGGACATGATTTCATTCTTTTCATGGATGCATAGTATTCCATGCTATATATATATATATATATATATACATATATATATATATATACACCATATTTTCTTTATCCAGTCAACCTTTGATGGACACAGTTTGGGTCCATGAATTTGCTATTGTGGATAGTGTTATCATAAGCATATGACTGCAAATGTCTTTTTAATATAATGATTTTTTTTGAGTAGATATCCAGTAGTGGGATTTTTGGGTCAAATGACTCTATTTTTAATTACTTGAGATCTCTTCATACTGTTTCCATAGGAGCTGAACCAATCTACATTCCCACCATCAATGTACAAGTGTTTCCCTTTCTCTGCATCCTTACCAACATCTTTTTAAAAAACTTTTTAATAATAGCCATTCTAACTGGTATAAGATGATATCTCAGTGTGGTTCTAATTTGCATTTCTCTGATGATTAGTGATGTTGACTATTTTTTCATATATTTGCTGACAGCTTGTATTTATTTTTTTTCAGAATGTCTATTCATGTCCTTTGCCCAGTTTTTAATGTTTTTGTTGTTGTTGAGTTTCCTGTAGATTTTAGAAATTAGTGCTTCGTTGGAGGCATAATTTGCAAACATTTTATTTCATTTTGTATGCTGTCTTTTTACTCTGTTGATTATTTCTTTTGCTGTGCAGAAGCTTTTTAGTTTAATTAAGTCCCTTTTGTCTATTTTTGTTTTTGTTGCATTTGCTCTTGGGGTCTTCATCATAAATTCTTTATCAAGTGTAGAGATTTTGTATGAGATCAAAGTCAAGTTGTTATCAGCTTAAAACAGACTGCTATAAATATAAAATGTTTTATGTAAACCTCATGGTAATCACAAAGAGAAAACCTCTAATAGATGCACAAAAAATAGAGAGTAATAAAAAATATACCACTACAAAAATTATCAAATTACAAAGGAAGACAGCAAGAGAGAAAACAAGGAATAAGAGAACTACAAAAAAGTCAGAAAACAATTAACAAAATGATAACAGTAAGTCCTTCACTATCAATAATTACTTTAGAGGTAAATGGATTAAAGTCTCCAATTAAAAAACATGGAGTGGCTAAATTGTTGGGAGCCGGCCATGGAGGCCCACTGAGTGTTAGGGATCAGGAAGGGCCGTTGACCCCGAGACCACTAGGATGCGTTCGGGAGCTATTGACCCCATTTCCTCCCCCTTTCTACTCAGCACTAACCAGATTAAGCTCCTGTGAGCTCAAAACATGAAAACTCTGAGACAGGGACGAACACAAGCTAACTTTAGAAGCTCATTGCTCCCATTCTTCCTCAAACTGCAGTTTTGGCTTTCACACAACTTATAATTCAAACTTGTGTCACATCTAAGAGCCTTAGTATTGGTCACAGGCTTCTGGGTTATGATCTTAGGATTTATTGAAGGTGTAAATTGTAGAATACAGTTTTAGAAGACAGCCATTTTGTTGAAAGAATGTGGCTGGGTTACTTGCAGGTAGCCCACTGTGAACTTTGGACTGGGCCATATTCCAAACATTCTGGGATGGGCCACTTTTGTCTGTAAAGTAAATACTTAAGCTTCTATAGAATTGTTTAACTTGGCATAAATCAATCAGCTTAGGATGAAAAAGGTTTATAGAATATGTCAGTCACGGATTAGGTTATCCTTTGTTATGGGATTTTAAGATTATCATATGAAAAGGGTTTAAAGGCACTCATTGATTAAGTTTTCATGGATTAAGGTTTCTGGTGGGTGGGGGACGCCCCTCCCACATCTGACATTGTGTATAAAAGACCCGTTGTAATTCCCAATAACACACATCGCTTCTGCACTAGACCGGAGTTCAGTCTCTTTCTTCCTCTCTCTCTCTCTTTCTCTCTTCTTCCCCCCATTCGCTGACACTGTCTCCACCTTTGAGGTACCCTGAACCCGGCTGGAGCTGGACTCTGGCACTCTCCACCCCTGAGTTTCTCAGTTTATTAATTCTTTCTTTTTCTAAGTTCTTTTTCATACTGCCTCAGCCACTTATTCCTGTGTAACTGACATTCTCCCATAATCTATTTTAAGCATCACACTTTCAGCCCAATGCTTTTTCAAAACCCCAGTTTTCTCACTTACT